AGTCAGATAATACGCCGTCATCCTGATTGGTGACATTAAATGTCATGTCGGAGTCAGAATCCAAGGCTGTCGCTATGTTAAGGCTGTTTTTATGGGTTCTGTTCGTTTTTCCTAAAAACCTGTCGGATAGCAGGTTTAGGATTGTTAAGGGTCGGATTATTGAATCATGACTGTATATATATATATATTTAAAACGCAAACAAGCCTGATGGGACCCGTAAACTAATATTTAGTTTGAGCCAATCACTGTAGTCGAGTGTTTTCTGTAACTCTCAGTCAGACTTGTGAACCTGTTGACAGGTGTTCTGATTTCACTGTTCATCAGCAAAGTGCTCTGATTTGTCTGGGATGGTTTTGTTTGTTTTTTAAAATTATTCCTTTCAACCACAATTCAAAAGCAACGTCTTATTTCACTAAATTATAATTTAGCAAATTTTTATTTATTATTACTTTTTTCAGTTTCTAGATATTTGAGTGACTGTTATGAGTTTTGTCTTTTCTGTAACAGAAGTGTTTGAATACATTTAACAGTATAAGAGTATAAACTAAAGTGAGAATACAAACACAGCAACATGTGCATCTTCATATTCATTAAAGTACCTTGTGGATGTGCCAGGTAGGAGAAATGTGTAGTGGAGGAAACAGGGATGGGGTTGAGGGCGGTCTGGGGCATGGGTGGCTGAGGACCGCCTGGAGGACCCTGGGTGGCCATCAGCATCATGGTGGGGTGGGTGGGAGCCGGGTGGTGAGACGGCACGATACCAGACTGCATGTGGGCCTGGGAGGGAGAGAAATGGGAAGTGAGCGGCGAGAACAGAAGTGTGACAGAGTCAAACAGGAGGGTGAGAGACGAGTTGGTTAGAAAGACGAAACAGATGGACGTCAGCGGCGGCGCCACGCTGCCTGTCTGCTGCTGACAGGAGCAGCATGGGGCCTGCAGCGAGCACCAGCTATCAGCGGCGGTGAATATGTAATGCAAAAAAAACAAGAAGTTATTGTTGTTTTGAAGATGGAACTTGGGCTGATGATTACGACTGATTGTGAACGCGCTGCAGACCGTTTAGGATGCAGCTCTGGGAGGTGTTTTCTCGCCGACACTCTGCTCTTTGTGTGCAGCGGCAGATACTGTGGCTCCGGCAAAGGACTGGAGGTTACGGTTGCTGACTGACGGCGAGGCTTGTTATTCTGCTGTGCAACAAAACCTGCCGCAAACGGAGACACTGGAAGCGATTTATCAAACACCTGCTGAACAAGCACAATGTGAAAGAAAAAGAAAAAAGCTGCTCTCTCTATTGTCAACTCCGAGTCCCGTCTTCACCCACAAGACCTGAGGGCTGCAACACAAAGAGAGCTCGACACGGACACACTCTGTTTGTGAACGGCTGGTTGTCGGCTGGATTTACTGACCAGGTTTTCTCCCATAAAAAGGGGGCTTCTGAAGGATCATAAAACTTTTCTGAACAATCGCCTGCTTCAGTCCAGAGGAACAGGTTGTTACGGCACAGAGCCACAAAGAACATTAAAACGGTAGAAAGCTACTGCAAATGATAGGAGAGGAAAGCTGCTAGAACAGCGTTAATCATGTGTTAATTTATTCATTTGACTGTAGTGGCTTTAAAACAAAAGCAAAACAACACTAGAGCTGCACATTAGAGCTGCTGTGATACTTAAAAACAAAGTGCATTAAAGCGTCACACTGTCCCATCATGTGGAAATCACTTCAGTGTTTGTCCAAGTCAAAGTCAGATTAGTAGGAAAGTGTCTGGAATTCATCCCGACTCAGAAACATTGATTCACTGCCCCAGTTCAAATCACAACTTAAAACTTATCTGTTCAGGACTGCCTACTCCACCTGAAGCCTGTTGTTCTGTCTGTTTAATTTAGTGAGTTTACTTATTTTTAATGTCCATCCATCCATCTATCATTTTCCCCTTATCCGGGGTCGGGTCGTGGGGCAGTTGGCGGAGCAGGTCATTCCAGACCTCCCTCCCTCCCTTTGGTGACGCCTTCCAGCTCTTCCTGGGGGATCCCGAGGCGTTACCAGGCCAGCCGAGAGATATAATCCCTCCAGCGGGTTCTGGGTCTGCCTCGTGGTCTCCTCCCAGGTGGACGTGTTCAGAAGACCTCCAGAGGAAGCCTTCCCGGAGGCATCCGAATCAGATGTCCAAACCACTTCAACTGGCTCCTTTTGACGCCCAGGAGCAGCGGCTCTACTCGGAGCTCCTCACCCTGTCTCTAAGGCTCCACCCTGTGGAGGAAGCTAATTTTGGCCGCTAGTATCCGCGATCTTGTTCTTTTGGTCATGACCCAAAGCTCGTGAGGGTTGGGACGTAGATGGATCTGGTAAATCGAGAGCTTCACCTATTTTTAATGTTGTTTCTTTTAATTGATTTATGTCATGTACGTACGGTGTCCTCGAGAGCCGAGAAAGATGTCTCTAAATAAAATGTATTTTAAATAAAGCTACTGATAGAATATTCTCTGTGATAAACATCAATAAACGTTTTTATTCTGTGTTCTATCAGCTTCAGTATAAAACTGGTGACACGGCGGTGAACCTCACATCGATTTGAATCCCAAACTCTGAACAGAACCGGGTCTGGAGCAGGTTAGCGGTGCAGCTTCCATGGTGATGTAGCAGCTTAATAGAGACTCAACATACTTCACTAACCCTGACTTCAGCTGGTCCATATAAACCACATGAGCTCTAACTAGATGTGACAGTTTGGCCTAACGAGCTACAGAAGTAAAACTGAGTTAAACTTTTTGAGTCCAGTCAGAACCCCTCGTCTCTACCAGCAGTGGGGCGATCCAGAACTATTCACCAGTTTAAGGTTAAAGGTGGCGACCTTTCCTAAACTTTGCAGTTGAGTAGTTTTAAATAATCAATATTTAGCCTGAGTCAAGTTAATACTTTTTAAGCGTATGCATGCTCGACAAGCTGGAGATGTGGTCTGGCGTTAGCCTAAAATATTACAGAACTATTTTACAATGAATGAATATATTATTCATTGTCCTGATGGTCAGGCCTCTCTAAATATTGTTGTGTTAGAAAAATACACTCATCAGTGTAAAAATATCTTTATTTTCCTTCTCCAGGGTTTTTCCTGGCTGCAGGCAGTGACTCACTGTTACTTGACATAAATATATTCATGTTCCTGTTATTTCTGTCCAAGCTTGATTAAATAAAACCCTCATTAACTGAAAAACTTAATTGCTATTTTCATTCTCAATTGCACTGCTGGTTTTCCTTTTGGTTTTGGATAGAATCTCTATGGGGAAGCCATCAAACGATCCTCTATGCAGGAAAAAAACAACAACCTGTGTTTTTGCACTTGTGAGATTAATATTCTGATTTCTAATGTCTGTACTGGCCACAACAAGCCGACGTTCTCCTCCCTGAAAGTTCTACTGGTGCATCTCTAGAAGAAAGGATAAAGCAGAGCATCGCACTAACAAACACAAGATTAATAACCTCTGTTCAGACTAACTGACTGTGGAACTTGGCTCGCCGTCTGAAATCCCATCAAGTTCTTAAATAAAGTAAACACAAGTTTGCTCATTTATAACCGCAGAGACAAAGACGTATGGTTCCTGTAAGAAAGGCCCTCGGAGGGGTTTTGGCTTTTGTACAACAGGTAGTACATTATCTAAATATACCGTCTGCTTTCTGCCAGCAGGAGTGCATTTGTTAAAAGATCAACATTTAGTGAGACGCACTTTAATGCTTTCTTCTTGAGCGTGAGATAAGGCCGGCATTAGTCTCTTGTGCAATACGTTTGGAGCCACTGGAGGCAATCAGCCAAGTTTAGTGAAACACTGAAAGCAGGAGGAAACCGCTGGTCTGGGTTTCTAAAGTTCACCTGCCTGCGTCTTTAAAGCTGACCAGCGCCTTTATGTGAACCCAACAGGACATCCGCCATGTTGGAAAAACGGCGAGCATGCCGGATGATTTTCCCTCATTTTCAAAATCCATCTCCTCCTAGAGGTTATGTCATACACACCTGAAATTCATCCAGCACAAACTACAGGACGTGGTCATTAAACGTTGTTGAAATCTTCCCCAAAAGTTCAACAGTGTAGAAATGGCGTCCAATTTCGATGAAAGGCCATTTTGCGTATTTTTGCTGTTTCCACCATTCACCGTTGGCAGGCCATTTCACCTGCACCTACGAAATTCGCTGGGCATGTGCAGCAGGTCGGGGCGCACAAAAAAGTCAATCAGCACCAAGCCCTAAATCCAACAGGAAGTCCGCCATTTTGAAAAAACACGGCGCCATAGAACACCATAAAACGGGATGAGCTGTGTAACTGGCCTGCTCCAATCTGCCTGAAACTTTACACGTGTGCTCCGAGTCCCAGCCAGAGCGTGTTCCCGCCACGGCCCGACACGCACGTCGCCGTGGCTCGCCATTAAACAGGAAGTGGCTTATAACTAGAGCTCCGATCTGCCTGAAACTCGACACGCTCGATCAGAGTTTACGCGTTTCTGCCAAAACCCAACGTGCACGAAGGCCGACAATCGTACAGCAAGGACCCGTCCATCGCCGCTCGCTGCTTTAACTAACACGCTGTAACTTATTTGTTTGAACTACACGCAAGCAGAAATGTGAAAACTGTTGAAAACTTTTTTTTCAGTCCTCCAAACGTGTTCATGAGGAATAGAGAGTCTCTGTTTTCAGATTCACACAGAAACCGTTTCCATATAACTGTCAAGTGACGCACTTTCAAAAAGGTGCAAAAACGTAAAAAATGGCTTCAGCTTGTTTCCATTAAGTACTTTGGAGCAGATACATGAGGCTCTGTAGTGCTGTCAGATGCTGGTGATACAGGCCACATTACTCATGGCTGTAATAAACACGGCAGAGGAAGCCAGAAACAAGACCGGTTGTTTTCCAACTACCAAAAATCTTGAAGAAGATAAAACAAACAAAAAGTTTCGCCTCCTACGAGAGAAAAACGGAGAGAGGCTTTCAGGAACTGTTGTCAGTTGTAAATATTCTTTCATGTCAGCTGGTGTTGGTCATGTTATCCGAAGACAAAACGCTTCTGTTTCCATTCACTTTTTCAAAAGCCACACTTCTAAATGCCCGTAAGACACACAGCAGGTCACTCAGAGCGGCGCTGGAGGTGCTGGCAGGCGTTTCTTCACCAGTTTGAAAGAGTTGTCCCCCGTCCACAGCAGCCAGTCAGGATATGACCACATCCTGAATCAAGCTCCACACATCACATAGACAGAGATTGAAAACCTTCCTGAAATACACTTCTTTTGTATTTTTAATTTCACCGCAAATACGTGCGTTTCCTAGAATGACTTAAAGCCTTTTAAGACAGAAATTGGTCGAGCTTTATGGGAAACCAACAGTAAGGCTTTGAGCAATTCAATTATGATGAATGGAATTAACATGATTGGATTGTCTTTTAATCAGTGAATAAAATTTGTTTTTCCTCTTCATCCGGTGCTGGTTTCCTCTGAACTAAACCCACTTACATCTACGACTAGAGAACATTGAGATCCGCATCCTAATTTAAACTCGGTCAGCCTGCCAAGAAAAGATCTGCTGCACGTACGTCATTATCAACACCCAAATATGATCCATTCATAAAATGAAACATCTGCTGGAAGTGATTCAAGAGTTCCTCGCTCCCACGTTTAAATACAGGAAACACAGCCAGAGTGGCTGCTTGGCTGGAGCTACTGCGGCTGTTTGTCCAGAGAGCTGACACAAGGTGGTGACCTACCTGCTGCACGTGTGCCATGTGGTTGGGGTTGTAGCCGTGCTGCACCTGCTGCGGGTGGATATAAACCGTCTGCTGGGCAGAGGGGAATGATGCCTGGGGAGACTGAGGGTTGGGCCCCGGGGTCATGGAGGGGGGCGTAGGGGCCAAGGCAGAATACATCTGCTGCTGTGGAGGCTGGTTGGCCAGGTGGAGGGCCTGGGCTGCTGCTGCTGCTACGACACGCAAACACACACACAAACACGCGTGACCACCGCGCCCCATTACAAACTCAGCAAGATGAGCACAGGAACTGAAGCGAGGCTTAAGCGAGCTTTCAGCCTCGATATACTCACCTGCCGCTGCCTGCGGGTGCTGCGGGTGCTGGACTGGGCTGGCAGCTGGGTGGCTAGGAGGACCTCCGTGTTGAGGCGGACCACCCTGCTGTCCTTGGCCCGTAGGCGTGGCAGAGGGCTGGGGGTGCTGTGGGTGAGGGTGCAGGGTGGCGCTGGGGTGTGGGTACTGCTGAGGCATAGGCCCTGGAGACACTGCGACACAGAAATCAGCGTCAGTAACTGTGAAATGCATGAAAACAGTCACCTGCACATCGTCGGCCGACGCGTGACGTACCATACATGGTGTGTGTCTGCTCTGGGTACTGTGTAGTTGAGGAAGAGACCAGGCTGGGCTGGCCGTGTGTAGGAGGCGCCATCATCCTGGCACTGCCCTGCATCACCGGACTGAACACATGCTGCGCCTGGAGGACACACAAGGACAGACAGACAACATCAGCATTAGAGCCCATCTGAGGTTTGTCTCAGCCCAGAGCTACAGAATCTAACCTCACATTTATCAGTTGTGACTGTAATGTAGAACCAAGCATCCCGTATTGAAAGAGGCTGTTGTGATCAGATATTTCCTGACCTACATACACATTTTAGTCAAGATTTTAATAAGACAAAGTGTTTTGTGGCTGTTTTTGGTAAAACTATATGCGACTCTTCAGAGGTTTGACTTCTTTTGTTAAAAACTTTAATTGGTGCCTTGAGTCGGCTTTGCTGTTTTGCATTAGAGGATTTTTTTTTTTTTTTACCCAGCAGTGAAATTTGTACTTTATGACATTTCAGTTTAGTTTTATCTTTTCCTCCCTTTCTCTTATTATCTCATCCCATTCTTGAGACAAAATTGTGGAGTCAGTTATATTAACGGCAGTAAAACAGCATGAAATTCCCATTCCTTATCAATACAAGGCCATAATGTCAACCCTGTGCCAGCCTCCTAACCGTCTCTCAGTGGTTTGATCAAAGCCTGCTTGCACACAGGTAATAACACGTCAGGTGTAAGAGGAAGGAGTGTGCAGTCAGCTCCCCCAAATCAGTAGTGATGAAACACTGGCATCGTGCTGGCACCCCGTCAAGCTGCTGAACCGCAGGCATCTGTCAGCCAAATTGCTGACTGGTGAACAGCTGGGAGAGATAAAGACTGCCAGTACTAATTGATGGTACCACAGTAACTGTAATGGTTACATATGGTTCTTAATGGAGGAGCCTCCTGGGTTGAGCCTTGCTGAAAAAGCTGCTAAACGTTGCATTGTTCCGATACCTGCCGTGGAGGTAAATCTCACCTGGGACTGGTAGTGTGGCATCTGCTGGACGAGCGGCTGACTGGTGAACTGCTGCGGGCTGCAGGTGAAGTACTGCGCAGGGTAGGCGGGGCTCGGTGCTACAATGGGTGGTCCTGCTGCTGTGGCTGGGTGCATCATGGTGGGCGTGCCCGGCGGGTGGTGCTGGTCTGACCTCTGCTGGGGCATGTTGGGTACTAGACATACACGTTAAGAGATTACATGTGGAAGAAGTTTAAAAGTCTGTGAATCTGAACTTAACAGAGTTGTTGAGGAGAGACAAAAGTCCTGCTGCTTCATGAAGAGGGAGGTAAAATTTACTGAACCGATTGTTCTCGTGGTTTAATCGTAGCAACTGGACTTGCTTGAGTTCCGTGAAGATGTTTCACCTCTGATCCAAGAGGCTTTCCAGTTGGACATAGATGGTTTCTTTCACCCCTCTCTCAGGGAGGACAGATGGTTTGAGAGAGGGGTGACAGAAGCATCTATGTCCAACTGGAAAGACCATTCCTCAACCAAGGTGGAGGTCTGAGGCATCACCTGTTTACAATTCAGTCCTAAGATCTCTAACCAGGAAGATGAACCCACATCCACACCTAGCCACAGAAGACCCTAATGAAGCCCATCGTGGCAGGGGGAGCACTAAGGAGTCACATAACGAGGAGGAGGAGAAACCGAAACTCAGGTGTTAATGGCTCCTTCAGGACAGAAGTATCTGGAACTCCCAACTAGTCAGTCAGAACTGATGAAGCCTCTTGGATGAGAGGTCGAACGTCTTCAAGGAACTCAAGCAGCTGCTACGATTAATCTACCAGAACAACCATGACCTGGATGACTGAGGATCTCCACAGACATTATTATAATATGAGACACCTTTTCCAACATCTGTCCACAGAAAATAATTCTCTGAAAATGGGAAACACTTGAGCAGATTGGGCCCCATGGGAAGAACATTTCTGAAACTTTTTCTCTTTTATGCAAACACCAGCTTCTAATACTTCCTTTCACCTGTGTGGTACGACACTACAGACAGTGTGGCTGGCACTGGGTGCCACCCGTGTGGAATACGCTTTTTTACTATCACTTTTCAGCGCGTGTTGCTATTGTGCCTGTTTGAATTTAACACCGCAAATCAATTCCCATCTGGAATAATACACTTCATTAATTCATCAACCAATCAGTTACATTTCCTGTGAGGCTTCAGGCGCTGATGTGAATAATTTTCAGGCTCCTCATCAAAACATCCAGTAATTCCTGAGTGCGCTACGGATGACTCAGTCCCCTGGTGTGCTTCTGGAAGAAAATATGTCAGAAGACGCTCTCCATTTCTTTTCACTGATCAGGAATTTATTTTTACTGTGGCGACAAGGCGTGTTAATTAAGCCATTAGAAACTCCCCTAGATTTAAAAAAAACTGGTCATCATGAAAAGACGTACCAAACAGACTTTAAGCTAGCCAAGCATCGGTAAGTATAAAAACACTCATAATGCGACTCAAAGTCATGGCAGGACCAGTGTTTGTGCTACTCAAAGAAGGAAAAATTGCTGCAAATACAGAAAATCATGAATGCATTAAAGTCCCTGAAGAAAATGTACTTGGCAGCCATGCATTTTTAAGTTAAGAGACAGAAAAAGACAGCAATGGGCTTCAAATGAGAGAAAGAAAGTTATTCTCACCTTTACCTGGTCTGTAGGGTTTAGACTGGCTGACCGTCATATGAGGCATCTGAACCTGGTACATAGCTGGAGACTGGAGAGAGGAGGGGAATGAGGATGGTAGATGAAGAAAACATGTTCATAGTCAGTCTTCTCAGGGAACTTAAGCATCTCCCCTACCAGAATGAAAGGCCCTAGGCTAAAAAAATAGGTCAATTAATACATATTTGTGCTGCACAGTCGCTATTCAGCGTTTAACTGTTGATTTAGCAGCTATCCTCTCACCTAGCACCAAACATTTGTGAGAATTATCTCTTACCTGGGGCCACATGCATTTTCTACACCTGTCTATCATCGGGCAAAAAAAAAAAAAAGGTGTTTTACAACTATGATTATAAACCAAACATTGCTTCCGTTCCTTCAGTCCTTAACATTATACACCATGCACGACTATTACAAACAGTACTGCAGCAAAACGAAAGAGGCTTAAACTCCTATTAGCTTGCAGCCATTTGTTTGGGAAACAGATGAAGCCAATAGAAAAAAAAAGAAAAAAAAGATGAAGTTTTAAGTCCATCTGTGATGACAGTTTAAAAATGAATTGCAATAAGAAGTTGGCAAACCAACATCTGATGGCATTAATTCAACAAGCAAGCAAAACATCTCAGTACTGATTGGGCTTAAAAAAAAACAAATACAAAAAAAACAAAAGGATTTAAAAAATATAGAAATCTTAGAAAAATTCACAAACCTTCCATATTATGCTTTTCTAATGGAGCGAGAGAGAGAGGAGGAGGAGGAGGGGGAGAAAAGGGAAAAAGAACCACTCTTTAGTTGTTATCGTTTGCACGTGTCTGATGTTGGATCACCAAGTTTTTCTTAAAGCAACACAGGAACAAAAAATACAGATTTACGACTACAGACGTAACAGCTTTCATCAAAAGTATGCTAAGAAGTTCTAATAAGTCCTTTGAGACTGCTGTGAAATGTTAGTTTGACATCATTACGCACACATTTCTGTAACAGTTCTATTCGTTTTTAATGAATGCATCGAAAATAATTGAAGTAAACAGTTTGTGGAAGATGAAGAGAAAAGATGTTCCGTATATTAAAGAAAAAAAAAAACATGTAAAATATTGTGCGATGTGTCCTCAAGAAATACAGAGGAAGTAATGATGCATTAGGGATGAATCCGAGATAGAAGAAAGGAAAGGAAATTAACAAATGAGGACAGACATATGCAGACATGTTTGGGAGACCTCGTCTTGTTAGGGATTTGCTTTAATGAACCCAGCATATCACAGGGATGCAATGTGATGCTCAGGGTGATCTGCGCTGAACAAAAATAAATCTGTCTCCATGCTGCACATTTCAGCATGCAGGAGTGTCTCTCACCTGCACTCCAGGGCTGACTGGTGTGAGCGGATACATCTGGGGGAAGCACACTGTCTGGCCGTAGACAGTCGGAGGCTGCTGGACCACAATGGAGGGGCTGGGCTGGCCCTGAGGCCGGGGAGGCGTCGGGGTGTTGGCTGGTTTGGGCTGATGAAGAAGAAGAATAGAAAAAGACAGAGACAGTCAGAGACATAGAAATGAGTTGAATAACAATGGCAGTTTGTGGTATGTAAATGATGCAGTCTGGCAGCAGCGGTGGTGCAGACTGACCTGTGTGTTAAACCTGGGTTTGAACTCATTGGCATTTGGATTCAGGGTTGATTTTCTGACTTGACTGTTGGAGAAGAACAAACGGTGAAGAAGTTAACGTTTAAAGGATCAGTCTGAGATTATGATTACAGTTTTCATTTTGCTCAGTCATTTTCTATAACAGTGGAGCTTTGTTTTCAGCAAACATTACTCAGCAGGATTAAAGAGTTTTCATGTTGTACATTCAGAGGAAGATTAATAAACATTTCTTTCCTGTTTTTGGACAACAATGGATCTCTACTGCACAGAAGAATAAAGTATATCAGGAACAGAAAACACTCTTCTCATCAGATTTGTTGATAATAAAATCACAGTCACCACATGTATTAAAGTTTCATACAGCATCCCCTCCACTCACTCTTGCACTGCCTCCTTTTTCTCCTCCTTCTCTTCATGCTTGGGTCCACTGAACGTAGACGTGGCGGTCGTCTGAACTCCCTGTGACGTCACATCCAGCCCCGCCCTCTTCTGGTCAGGGGCAGAAGGGGATGGAGACAGTGCAGCAGGGCTGCCAGGCTTACTGGTGTTTGTGGTGGTGGTGGATGGAGCAGGGGCACCACCGGATGTGCCAGAGGCAATCACTACAACACCATCTTCAGTGCCCTCTCGCCCCGCTGCGGAGGCTTTGTCCAGGGGAAGGTCTTTAGGCTTGTCTGCTGGATCTCTGGCAGGCTTGGTCATCATCTGGTCAAAGGCAGGGTCTGGATTTGAACTAGACTGCAACTGCAAAGGGACCACAGAGAGAAGAGTTGAAGCTTTGGCTATAATTGTGAGATGATTATTTCTATTTTGCATGAATGAAAGAGATACTTACTCTAAAATCTACACTAAATTTCTTTAAATTATCTATTTGTTTTCTGTGGTCTGGTGCCATAGAAGGAGGTCCTGTAAGTGGAGAGAAATGGGTTTAGATTCTGAAAATATCTATTTTTTATGACAGCCCAACAGTCTAAATGACATTATGACAGCTAAATGAATAAAAACAGGTGAGAAAAAGGTGTTGCAACAAACGCTCTTATCTACACAGTATTATTGATAATGCTTCACGGCACTCAATTTCCAGTGTTGTCCAGTGTAAGCTTTACCTTTACAGACTGGTCTGGTAATACTAGGTGAGCTGTCCAAAGGCTTGATGTTCTCCTTGTTTGCAGAAGGGGAGGTTTGTCTTGTCTCCTGGACACGACACTCTTTTGCTACACAGGAAAAAAAACCAAAACAGTTTGCTTAATCCCAGCATAAAGCAAGAATCTACAGTAAAACATCAGATCCAAGTGCATGAAAATCAGGTATCTGATAAGACTCTTGGCATTCCTTATTTCCTCAGTCATTCTTAGTGATAGCGTGGGTTAACTTTCACTTGCAAAAAAATATATTTATTTGCAACGTTTCCGTGCTAGACCGTCACACAAAAATGTTTTTGCAAGATGAATATCTTGCACCAGAATGTGCAGGAGTTGATTTGAAACTTCTGGATATGCTCATCCCTCTCCTACACAAACATCTCATGAAATAACATGTGCAAAGAGCTCCTTTGGCTGAAGTACCTTTGAACTTACCATCTCCTGATGGAGTAGCGACCATGTTAGGGGCGGGGCTAGCAGCAGTAGGAGAGGAAGCCGATGTTGGTGTAGTAACAGTTTCCACAGGAGCTGTTCCCGTCTGTGGTGAAGGAAGGGACGAGGAGCCAGAGGAGGCTCCACCAATACTATTCTGTCGGGGGGAGCGAGGTCTGTGAGCTGAGGGGAAGCAGAGATGAGACTTTGGTGATCATATACTGAAACCTTATTCACTCACCTTGGTTTAATTGCCAGTAACACAGAGTAAGTATTTCAGTGTTGAAGTGTTATAGTATTAAAGATGACATCCAGTGGTGCTGAACCATAATCTCCAATCTCCTTCGCACGCAGAATAAGTAAAGAAATCCAAAAAGCTGTTACCTCCACTAACCACTGAAGACCACGTCCCACCAGAGGAGCTACTCCTGGTCGGTGGAGTCACTGGAACCTCACCAGGGGCATTGTGGGAAATTAAATCCACCCCTTGGGGCACTCCACTGGTTCGGCAGGGTGGCACTCTGTGAGCACGAGGTGTCCGCTGGGATTTTGGAGACATCCTTGGTGGACCTGTAGATGAAGAAAGACCAATACAAACAAACAGAACTCCATAAGCGCAAAGCGGCAGTGACGTCAGCACACTGTGTTGCTACGATCCTGCTGTGAAGGTTTCTCGTTTGTGTCTCAGAAAAAGCTTTCAAAAACCCACACTTTGTAATCTAAGGATTAAATACCACATCACACAGTAATGTTATTTGGTGACATGCGTGTTAGTGGAGAAACTGCAGGAAATCCCGTCAGTGATCAAACAACACCCCAGACTTTTCAAACCACAACCAAGTAAAGTGAGGGATAAGAAAAGGGAAAACAGAGGTGATAAGGTGAGGTGGACACCTGCATTTAGAGAATCTGCATTCTAGCAAATTTGTGCAGCGAACAGTGAGAGCCCAGAGCAACACTAATGTTTGGCTAAACGCTAACCGAGGATTTTGCCATTTTACAGTAAAAATATGTGCAAAGTAAACAAGATCTATTAGTATTTAACAGTGACACAGTGCTCCAGCTCAATGGATTCTATGTTAAATATGCGGTTAGGGCTCTCTTTCAGTTTTAAGTAAGGTATTCATTTGATCGATTGATGATGTTCTTAAAACATCAGATTAAACTTTGCCTTTTTGTCCTCCTGTGGTTGATTGATCTTGCTGCAATGCTGTCGCTAACAGGTGCGATAAATCACACAGTAATGATGGCTGTTTTGGTTCGTAATGCTTTAAAGCAGAAAGGGCCAATAGCAGAAGGCATAAAAGCTCAATTTTCAAGTCAAAATTTCAGTTACTCTTAATGTTTTTTTTTCACATTTATCAGTAACTTTTGGTCCGATGCAATTGAGGAGCCAAGTGTAAAAGAACAGATATTCACACAGTGCATCCAACACGGCAGTCAAATTAAAGCTTTGAGTTTTCGTTTTCATTGATACGTTCCAAATCCAATACAGAGTCGACACATCAGAAAATGTTAAGCACTGTACGCGAGAACCAAGTAATTACGTTGGTTTCAATGATGTGTCTTCTTTTTAAAAGAAGCTATTCAAACTTCTGTGAGCATCTTTCGAATGCTTCATTCACATATTTGCACAGCCCTGTACGTCTTTTTATTAAAATACTATGCTGTCTGCTAAGATTATCTTCCTTTGAACGCTCTGTCAGGAAACACGCTGAGAGGTTTTGTATAGTCGGTGCCTTACTAGTAGAAAGCACAGCACACACTGTGGTGCACCCACATGCCAAGGTGAAACTGTCAGATCCACTGACAAAGGATCAGCTTTGTGCATTACTAAATCCTCGCAATTTCCATTTGTGTGGAAATTGCAAATCTGACCCCAAAAAAACATCAGTCTGAAGAAGCAATTTCACCTATTTGTGTTGTTCCACACTAGACCTGGGCAAATGTATTTTTGAAAGTAATTCCCTTACTGAACTTTTATGACATTTTTTCGACCGCTTTCAATGTGATCGGGGAAAATAATTTCAATACTGAGTTCAATCCCTCCACCTTCAGCTCATGCCTTTGCCCAGGTCTACTCCACAGTGATGTGGGTACCTTCTGAAGACATGCGTTTGGGCAGATTGGAGGCCGACGACGTGGGCCCGTGGTGGGAAAAGGAGGATGAAGAGGAGGGATAAGAAGGGTGGGATGAATGAGAGGGAGGTCTGGAAGGTCGAGAGGGGGGTCTGGAGGGTGGCCTGGTGGGCGTGGTCGCCCGAGGAGGCAGGGAGGAGGGGCCAGACTGGTAACGAGAGGGGGGGCGGGAGGAAGGAGACGGACAGGGTGAGGGCCAATGGGATGAACCTAAAAGAGGCAAGGACAAATGATCAAGGATGACAACCGGTTAAAGTCGGGGAGAACAAAGATAAAGCAGGAACAGAAAGAATAGGGAGATTAATAAATATGAGAAAGAATGGCAAGACAGGAACAAAATGATCTAATCGACTGAAGTGAAATAAATCCAGAAAATAAAATTAACAGGAACAGGAACAACAAATGTACACAACCCAAACACTCTAGCTTTACATCCATTCAACAGTACAAGATGGGCCAGTGCGCTTCTGCAGAAGTATTGTGTTCATAGAGTGCAGCAAGTAATGCCCCAGGTTTGTGAGTGACGTGGTAAACGTACCTCCGTTAACCACCCTCTGGTCGGCCCCAGAGCTGGGACTGTAGTCGTGAGGTCCTGGTCGAGGAGTTGAGGGTCCAGCTGAGTTCTGACCCAGACGAGGTGAATTCTGACGTCCTGGCCCCCATGACATCGCCTCCCTGTTCCTCTGACCTGGAGGAATGTACTTATTCTCTCTGCCCACCCACATACAAACAAACAAACAAACAAACAATACAGGCAGATGGTTTAGTTAAATACACAATGCCAAAGTTGAGGAAATAATTCTACCCTCTATTACATTCAACTAAGTACTTCTCATCAGCCAAAATGAGCATGTTTTCTTTAATTACCAATGAAGTATTTGTTCTGGGAACAGCTGCTGTATACTTAGTGAATTTGCTGGAACCACTTTCTCTCCCTTTAAGGTTTAAATATGCTTCTCGAGGCTGTGCCTGAATTTCACTGTCTGCAAGCAACATGAACACATACACAGTGTGGGTGGTGTCTGTCAGAACATGCCAGTATAAAGAAATATATAGAATATGTCATACTGATACAGTGAGCCTTCTCTTTTAATTGATTATAATAATAAAACATGAATGATGGGTGTTCCAACAAATCTGTATAGCTGATGAACATTAGAAATAAATCTGCTGACTCAATTAACTGGCCAGGCCGGATCCATAACTTAACACGATGCACATTTACTAATAACATTTAAGAATAAAGCACAATAAATCCCACAAAGTTAACGGTGCATTGCTGTGCTGCTGAGTTTTAAAGGAGCTGGTATCAAGAGTCAATTACCAACGATGAAAATGAATGAAATCTGAACATATGGGCTGATAATAATCTACAATCACAATTATGTCACAAATATTTCATTGTGAGGTGTGCACTGGCACAAGCAGTATGTGTTGGCCCAAAGGTTTTACTGTGTATCCTGGTCTTACCTGCTAAGTGTGTGAGTCTCCCGTTCCCCTCGCACCACAGCAGTGTATTTCTCCTCCTCAGTGCGTTCATCGTTCTCCAGAGCCACACGGGCCTTGTATGTGGCACTGGCCTCAATCTCCTCCGCCAGCTGGGCAGCACGCGCTTCCCTCTTCAGGAACTCTTCCGAGTTGTCCCGCTCCAAGGGGACCCTGGGAAAAAAAAGAAAAAAGCTCAGGTGAGACAAGGAGTCACTATGTAAGGCCTTATTATAAATTCATAGTCTTGCCGTATGAGGGTACACTACAACACGGTTAATGGCCAGAGATATCAAAAAATATACATCCAGCACCTTCTGTATGTGGAGCATGAGATGGAGATTACAGAATAAAGACTTTGAGCTTTGTGGAGCACATGGAGACGCTTACGTGTATGTGGAGAGGCTGCTGTCGTAGGTAGACAGGACTCCATATTTCTCCTCGTTGTACTTGAACATGTCATTGGGATCCCAACCGTTTGACTGACATAAAGAGATAGAGAGTGAATTTACCAACAGACCTATAAACTGTCAGGATAACACAACCTCTCTTTATCATAATCGAGAACCTCTGTGGATTCCATTCTATGCATCAACAGAGTAGCATCAATGTCTTCTCACCACATCTGTATCCAAAGACTCCAGGCTGTCGGAGTTGTGGGTCTCTCCTCCATCCCAGGGCTCCAGATCTTTCTCTTTATGCTCACCGTTGATCCGGCCGCTCACTGCCGCATCTGTAAAGTTGTCTGCGACATATACACGAAGAATTTATGTACAGCACGCCGCCGTACGCCGACACTCGCACAGAGAGAAGCTCGTGGCGGTATGCGGTCACATGGCTGTACTCTCACTGTTTATGCGGGGAAGCGCTCATGCCTCACGAGCCTCTGTCACAAAGTCTCACAGCAAAAGGTCTACATGGAGGTTCTGGTGGTTCAACAGGCACACCCACTCACATCCAGACATGGGCCCAACCGGATTGGGAGAAAAATCCTTTCAAAAAAAATTTTGAGCTTTTGCTTGAGCTGGCCTTGGTAAGGATAAAGATTTCTGACAGCATGAGAATAACTATGAATACAACCTTGTAAAGAAAAAAAAAAAAGAGGCAGGAGTGGGGGGGAAGTAGTCCTCAATCTCTATCGCAGCATAATGCACTCATTAAATCCAAAGTACGGTGCTACAACGTGTTCAGCTGGCAAACTTCTGTCAGAAATTAAATTCAGGTATCGCAGAGTGTCTACAATGTCTGCCTCAATTTCCCCCACTTGATTTATTAAGCATCACCATGGCAACATCTTGAAAGGCAGCATTTGCATGTATAAATAAAACTCTAGCGGGGCTGATGACATTCCCGTCTTTCATTCACGAGGTTTAAGTAAACATACGGAATACCTCGGCTCAACAGAGTGAATCACGGACAGGCATGCTCAAAGACAACCCCCAATTATGTTTGAAAGGAAATCTAATCTCATGTTAGCCCAAGTCTGCTCTCACATTCTCAGATCTGGCACCAATGGACTGTGTGCATAAAGCATACCAGCCACCTGGACTTACATAACTCAGCCATCCCAACTCATCCTACAATACAAAGGGCATTTAAGCATTTCTGGCACGGGGCAAGTTCAGAAACACTAGACTGGTACGAATAAAGTTGGGCTGACAGGCCTGGTGTTTATTTCTAGAGGTTGTTGGCTTGCTGTGTGCACACTGTTCATTGAGGGAATTGTACATAAAATAAGGGAAATTTAAAAATCAAATGTGGGCATAGTGAGGGGTAAAGCAAACATGCATTTAGATCGCAGTCAATAATACAACCTCAAAGCACTTCAGGGCCAAACGAAATGAAACATCAGGACAGAACTTCATTTTAAATACAACACTCAGAAAGCAAATAAAGTGCTGGTGCTTAATGTGAGTTTGTAATCTGTTGCTTTCAATGGAATCATGATGCTTTAATTTCCATCTAACTTTGATTTGACCTCTGGTGCAGTAAAAGTTGAGATCAAGTGCCGTAGAGGTGACCTCTCGTTAGCTAAAACAAAAATATTAATCGCATCCATCTCCTTCTGGGTCATTGGAGATAAACCATCATAAAAATTTGTTTTAATGGATGTAATATTTTAAAATGCACCTTTAAACATCAATTCAAAACTACTGTTAAAAAATAAAACATGAATTTGTGTTAGTTGAACACAAATAATCGAATATTATACATCTAACACCACATAATCTTAATGCTATTTGTGATATATCTCTCACACATCTTCAGATTCCTCGTGAGTAAGACCAAACGCTTAATGTCCACTTTGAGCCACTTTAACTAAGAGCTTAACTAAACAATGGGCGTGTGGCGGTTCTTCCACCGAAAGCAACATCCAGTCTAAAGATAACAAAAGCATCTGGTGAATAAATGGAGCAAGCCTGACCTGCATCACAGCTGATTCGTATTTTTAGATTATATGAAAGCAAATTCTATCATCAAATCAGAATTAAAAGGCAGCAACAACCGGCAACAGATCATGCCCAGACTCTCACAGATGTTACTGATTTCAGGTTTTTTTTAAAGAAAATGCTGATCTTAGTGTGTATGTTTGAGTGCATACAGAGATGTGCGGGAGGAGAAAACAGCCATATATTACCTGTGTCAGAAGAGACTAGACCATCGAAAAGGAGAGACACACAGATGACACAGAGTCAGAAGATGGACTGACAGAGAGAATGACTGACTGGTGATCACACCAACAGTTGTTTCCTACCCAACATGTTTGACTCAACTTGGTGTAAACTCTTTTTTTTTACAGTTTGAGAATGAATGCAGTTTTAGTCAAGCCATGTCTAGCAGACTCTTCAAATTGCTATTAAGTGAATAGAAAACTATCTGCACAAATCGTGTTTTTTTGTTTTTTGTTCACTGCCTTGTTGGCCAACATAAGCACGCAGATGAGCGGCGGTGTTTAAATGTCTCACGTTTCTACAAAATATTGTGAAATTTCCAGTCACTCCCCAGCGTGTCGTAATAATTCCATGTAAAAGTGGCACCGGTGCAACACCGTGTCTTCGAATCGTGTGGCGAAACCCTGACGCTTTTCTCCACCTGCTCATTTTCAGACAATAAAACTCTCCCACACAGTCCATTATCGTTCAAAGGAGAATTATATGGGTCAAGATGAATTACATGAAGCAGAGTCACTCAGCCTTTATTGAGTGTCCTTGCTGCGCCGGGGCAACCTTCGGACCAATCAATAGATCAAATTAGTCTTCAATGGCCGGCCACTCAGAGCAGACACACAAGATTTAACTCATGGCGAAGCCTCTGTGACATCAAGGCAGTGAATAGAGACCGAAAGAGATCAATACATTGTGTGTATGTGTGTGTGCACCGATTGGCATTCACTCTGGCATGTGTATATGTTTGTGTGTACAGCGAATACAGAGTGACAAACTCACCCAGTTGTGCATCAGTTTTCAGTATCTATAAGAACTAAGTGTATAAAGGCTGCTATTTATGTATCTAGATGGTATTTGCAGACAAAACGCCCTCAGTACCTTTCCTGGCGAAATTCAGGTCCACATCTTTGAAGGTCACCACTACAACATCGGAGGCCTTGAAAATTATGCTCTCCACAATATCTTCTTTCCTGGGGCCTACGCTGGGCTCTGGGTTCTTTCTGTGGGCTGCATCCAACACCAGGTCACACTGAGGGAGAAGACATGTTACGTTGAACTGGGTTAAAGGAAAATCTGAAACACTGCAAAAAAAACCTGAGCTGTCGACGCTGTTTGATCGTAGCGGTCGTACTCATCAGGAGCTGGATGAGCAAAATCAGCTGGGAACAATTTATATGGGAATCGTTTAAGGAAATTTATTGAGCATAAAAAACACAGACGTTTCCTTTCCAGCTTCCTGAGGGGGGATTTTCGGTTACAGTTTTACAAATTAAACATCTTTTCATTTTACAGTCAGACTTTATCACCTATTTTTTGTACAATAACAAATGAGTAACTTATAGGTGAGTTGATAATAAAGATAAGAGCAATGAGCACAACCAGAGGAAAGAGGATCTAATCAGTCAGACCACTTGCTTTGATGGAATTAAAATCTGTAATCTTGGCTTCGTATCAACATGCCTGCGTAATTCCTTCTAGGTTCTTGGGGGTAATATCAATTTATTTTGCCCTTTTCAGTCATTGGCATCCACACCAGGTGGAGCAGCTTCTGAGGCGCACTGGGAGCTGACAAGACCTCAGATTCACCCAAAGCTGGAACTTTTACTACAACTAGTATGATACAGTGGAAGAAAATTGAAATCACAAGCCCTGCAACCAAACATCCCGGTGTTGACTAAGAGACTGTGTGCAGAGGGGCAACATGTGAATATTTCAGCGTGTTTGACTGTTCGACTTGCACACCCTGTGGTAATAAAAGCCAAATGTGAAGCTTTGTTTTGGTCTCAAAACAAAAGTAGTGTTTGCCTGCGCGAGCACGCCAAATTCTGTTTCTTTCTTCTGGTCTCCTGCCAGCCTTATTCACATTTCAGTCACAAAACTTTGCAACAAGAGGTAGGCCATGTAAGATAAATAAATATCCTGGGTGTGAACAACCAGAATAATGTATGTTACTGGCATCCGATCAAGAACTCCAGTTAAAGCCAAGTTCTGCTAAATGAACTGAACAGGAAGCCCCCTCCATTGCTCAGGTTAAGCTGTTCATTTGTACAAAAATATGTTTTCCCCACAGAAGAAAGATTGAGGAATACTTCAACCTAAAAGGGAAGAGGAAGGGCCACATACCTCTCCACCATAAAAGGAAAGACGGAAAGTGCAATCTTTGTCTAAGCCACCTCAGGGGTGAAGCTGCTATTGAGTGCTGGCAGGGCGCTATCACAGTTAAGCTTAATCATCAGTGCAGCTACTGAGAAAGTAACAGATCTTGCTCCATATTATAAAAAAAAAAAAAAATCACACCATGTATGATTCTTACCTCGGGACCGTATGTCTTAAATACTCCTTCATAGACTGCTCCATTTTTAACTTTCAGCTCGCACTTGGTCCCCTATAAATAAACAGGCCTATCATTATTCACTGTATGCAACACTCATTCAATAAAGTGCCAATGTCAATTTACACATTCCAAAAAAAAAACAAGTTCAGAAACCCATCTGCTATGAAGTAGACAGATGATTGATTAATCTCTGCTTTGTTTATGCAGCCAGCTGTCTCTACAAACAGGCTTTGTTTATTGCAGTGTAGACATTGTGAAGAAACAGCATGTGGTGAAAGACAGACTGCAGTAAATATGGCTGTTACTAATTCATTTACAGTAAGCATGATTCATATGGGGGTTTTTTTCTTCTTCCATCTAAGGAATTTTGCAAGAATGCTCATTGTCCTTATCAGCACTTGTGTTACGCACGAGACAAAATTCTGAGGAACCTAAACGTCTCAATGACTTAACAAGGCAGACATTCAGTAAACATACCACCACTGAAGTCAAGACATGGACCATCCTCATATTTGCATATACACCATTGAAAATGACCTAAAGAAAAAAATACAATTAACTTTTGACGTTTCACAGCTGCAAGGAAATGTTAAGCAACATAAGCTCTCATAGCCACGTAAGACCTGCTGGACATTCGTTCCATTCATAATGCATACAAATTACCAACATTGCTGACCAATGGATTTAGGTTAAGGTCAAGTAGCATGCCTTAAAAAAACAAATAACTCTGCACAGACAGAACAAAAAGGAGCATCAATCAACTGTGTGAATTCTCAAAAAGCAGTTTTCTTCTGATACACAGCATTTGGATATAGTCAATATCTGATGATACAGGCCTACGTAGCACAAAACCCATCTCACACCGACTTCTCAGAGGGAACAGGTTACTTACTGCTGCAGGACCTTTACCGCTGTGTCTTCCCCTGAAAGAAAAAAAGACGTCGCGGTTGTCAAACTTGCCATCATCATTCATTCTTCCGAGCATATTGAAACAAAAAGCTGTGTGACGGACTGGATGTGGTGCAAACTTGTGCTGCACATGTGAAAGGGGAAACCGTAAAGGGATCACCAACACAATCCATCCAATTAAACCTTAGATATCTGAATGCAGTGCAGACTAAAACAGACTCCACAACATTTTGCTGGTGAGAATGATGTTCAAGGGGGCAGCCAGCCAAACACTCAGCAGCCTACATTTTTTTCCAAGCATGTCCTAAAATGCACCTTGTTCAGCAGCTGGCACATGGCCAGGCATCCCCGTTTGATTTAATGTAAGCAACGACCACCCATCTCCACGCTGTAGTATATCAGTAATAGGCCAACTAACACATACTTAATTCTGGATCAAATCCGAGTCATTTACGGCTAAAAATACGGTGCTGGTTTTGTGTGCATGAGTCCAACTGGTCCAATATTGAATTACAGTGTCTTTGCTCGGCCTTAATAGATGAAACCTACGCAATGAATGGGACGTACTGTCCTAGTGACCGGTGGATAGAAGCCTGGCTAAATTAACACCACCAAAAAGCACAATATGCATGCGGCTCCTGCACTGACAGCGTGCGTTAGCTTCATCTTAGGACGACATGTACAGAAAAGTCATGCTTCAAGGACACTATTTCTCACGAGCAGCAACGTCAAGGTTGAAAGCCCGTCGGTCTACAATTCCCCCTTCTCCTCAGCCCCGTTTCCACACCCGCCCCTTTCTTTCGTGCGCCCACACGCTTTATATCAATTTCTTGGCAACCCCGTTGCAGCAATGTTGCGGTAACGTACCGAGCTACATGGTAGTGAAATGAAAACAAACGCAGTTGTTTTATCGCACTGGCCGTAAAAAGTCGCCGGGCTGCGTCCCGTTAGCCAACCGCTACAATACTGAATGAGGCAAGTGCACTGAATTACAAGCATGGACTGTCAAACGGCTAATTACCGCTAGCTAGATTGACTCCAAGCTGATAGTAAACTGATATCAGCAACTTGGCAAGCGGCGTCACTGCTGCACACATGTGCGAAATGGCATTTGTCCACCCAAACAAATCTAAATGCGTAATCAGACACCGGGTGGTATGTTTTATTTAACGTGCAGGAGGAGGTAACGTTACGTCGAAGTTGCAACATTATTGGGAGCGAGCCGACAGGCCTCGCTAGCCGAACTGCATAACGTTACACTTGGTGACCAACACGTCGCAAGGCCCGCATAACGTTCACAAACACGCACTAGTTTTGGACCACTTAGCAGGAATGTCATCTCTCCAAACTGCTACCGTTGGGAGCGACTGTGTCCAAGCACCGAAAACCGACTACATCCATGCTCGCTGCTGTGTTTTTATTTCTCTAAGTTAACGTTATAATTTCACAGACCTGCCCAGATTCTGTCTTCCCCCGCCGCTTCCTCCGGCACCGGAGGCGGCGGCACCAGCGGTGTTGCCACCGCCGGGCTTGCTGCGATTTCCACCGGCCTTCATTGACATGGTGATCCCATAAAAGACAGCGTCTGAAAGCGACCAGTTTCACACCGCAATTTCTTGACGATGAGACGGCGTGTGGTTGTGTGACAGCTCGCTACCGTTAGCAAACCGAAGATCTGGCTAGCTAGCAGGCTAATGTCAACGTGCCTCTTGAGGAGGATGCTATGCTAAGCAGCTAGCTAGCTGGCTAACAGTTGCTAGCTAAATTAGCAATCTGTACAATTCCTATTAAAACAGAAAAAAATAATATTTAAAAAAGACAACACGCTCCAATAACTCTTCCAAAATAAACATGTATGTTACACCTCTTGTCAATTTGTTGTGTAAGCCTAACAAAAAAATTCGATTATCTCAAAATAGGGTTTACAGCTATCTCGGCTTCTTTCCGTTGCTAACAGCGAAAAGACCAAAACAGTCTGAAAGGGGACAAAAAACAGCGGAGGGATATATGAAAGGCGTAACGGCTCATAACATCTAACTCAATATCCATACACTGGGTTCACTGACAACAGTCTAGCTGCTAAACAGACAGATGCGCTCGTATTTAATCTAGACCGCCGGTAGAAACGCATAAACACTCATTGGTTTTAAAGATAACACAGACACCATGGCACTATTTTCAGGAAGTCCATGAATCTTCAATGGCAGTTTAGTGGCATCCACGTGAGCCGGCGAACGCACTACACACCGGCGCACACACACACTATTTACACGCCGCTAGTGTGTGCATACTGATGGCAACTAACCATTGCAACACGACTGCTCACAATTAGCAGAACCAAGGCGACACTTTGATTTTTGATTTGATTTTCAATTTGCAAATAAGTGGCGTGACTTCTCGAAACCTGCACAGGGATGCAGGGAGATGGTTGCGCAGGTAAACTGCCGGAATAGCAGGAGCAACATACCAGGGATGCAATTTAAAAGGGTTATGTTATAGTCCGTTAATCTGTCGGTTATTTTTTTTGCCTATTAATCAATTAGTTGTTTGATCTATAAAATGTCAGAAAATGTTGAAAAATATCGAACCGACTTTCCTAAAGCCCAAGATGACCGATGTATGGTTTTTTTCATAAAGGTAATAAATTTACAGCCACATAGGATTAAAGAATCCAGAGAGCGTCCACATTTAAGAAGCTGGAATCAGAAAATGTTACTTCCATTAATCAATAATCAAAATAGTCTACCACTAATTTAATAGCTGACATTTAATTATTCAATCATTGTAGCTGGACAGTGATTTTTGTGTGGGGGTTTATTGGATGCTATATAAACAGATTTACTATGTCCAATATATATTTATTCTCAACACATAAACTTAGACTGTTTTGTCATAAACATGTCACACTTATTACCAAATTAGCTGCACAATTCATGAGAGTGTCAAGAGATTTTCTAATCTCTCTAATTCAGGGCTGAACAATGGGAGGAAAACATCTAATTGTGATTTCTCTGGCAGATATTATGATTTGCATACTTATTGTGTAACATATTTAAAACATGTGGTGGCGCATTAGCACATGAGATACCTTTAAAATATGAATGGTTTCATATGCTATGGCAAAGATAAGAACTTCAAGGTACAAATTGCTTTATGCATGTATTTATTTATTTATTTTCTGAATTGCATAGAAGATACAACAGTTATCACAAAAGCTGTGAAATGAAATGAAAAATACTTTATTTATCCCAGAAGGGAAATTCAATGTGGCTGTATTATGCAAAATAAATAAATTAATGACAATGATAATAAAAGAAAACAACCCCAAAAGAGAACAATAGGATAGAAACAATCTCTGACATTGGGATAAATAGGTCATTCTCAGGAGCAGCATCTAAGTATTGCTCTCAACTGCAGTCAAGTTTCTTTTTAAAAAAAGGAATTTAAAAACTAATCCTGGGTTGCACATCATACATGCTGGATTTCATGCGATTTTTTTATTGCCATGTTTCAATTTGTAATTCTGATCAACACATATTCATTCTTAATTATGATGAAAAAAAAACTTTAATGAATACTTCAGAATTGACAACAAAAATAATGAACATGTAAGTGTTTTTAGTGCATTAGTGTTTGTCAGTTTATTCGTTGTAGCTGATAAGGATGAGGTTTATTGCAGTTACTTTTTATACAGCTGAGTAAAGTTAAGAAATTCCCTCAGTCTTGCCTTAACCTATAAAAGTATGGCATACCCATCAAACAATAGGACATCTGGGAAAAGATTTGTTGCGCATCTTTAGCAAACGTTCCCTGGCAGCAATTTTGGAAGGTTTTCTGCAGAACGTTTGCTTTTGGGTGAAAAATTATGGTTTGAGCGTTTGCAGAATGTTCCCTGAACCTTGAGGTTATAGTTCGTGTCTAGTTTTCTTGGAATGCTCACTTAAGGTCTTCTAAGATTTTCACGAAATAACCCTTGGCAAACATTCATGAACATACCGCGCAGAGCAGCATGCGTTTGGGGAATGTTCTGCGAATGTTAACACTGTGAAGTCATGACATATTCAAAGCACATTCCCCCCTAAAAAAAACAAATGTTCTGCCAAGAAAACTGTACAAAATGACAGCCAGGGAGCATTAGCAAAGATTTCCTGTACCTTAAGTGAAAATTTGCAAAATGTTCCCTAAATATTCCATTGGTTGCTGGGTATGATGTATGTTTATAGGTTACAAAAAAGTAACCTTCAGGGAATGTTCATTGAAGGTTAGCTGTTTGCTGCTTAATACGCTACTTTATGAGAATTACATTTGATATTGATGTATTGGTAATGACTTTATCACTAATCCGTACAGCAGTAAAATACATTAAACAGATTAATAAATGATCAGCAGTAGATTATATCGGAATACAGTATTAAGCAGCAGAAAATGGAAAAACTAAGGACAAGGACCTCAAAATTTCCTTTAAATACAATTCTTGAGTAAGTCTTAAATATATAACTTTCTGCTCCTGTGTATTGCAGCGCTATTGCGATCGACTGTACACGAGTCCACACTTAGAAAAACCGTAGAAAGAAACAAACAGCTGTTCGCCAAACTGCATATAAAACCCTTACACATATTTAACCCTTCAATCCGCATTGAAAACTGGGTCCTTGTAAGGACCTCTAACTGTCCGCCCCTTAGAACCGCGTCCAATAAAAAGATGTGGAACATGTCAGTTAAAAAATATACAGACAAAGACATTCTTTAAACGTATGAAGATGACTTGTTTATTGATAAATAAAGGGTGTACATGCACATATTGTCCGAATTTCCAAAACGTATCAATGATTTTAATCAGGCGGTCTGCTCGGACCTCTACTGCGTAGTGCCGACTGGGGTTGTGTATTCCTCTGACAAGAAGCTATGGGATTAGCAAAATAGTCCAGAGATGCGGGTATCTCCTTGGTCACCTCTGAAAACATTCTTCGTTGATCCCTTTCACCACTACCATAGTGGTATCGTTCCGCATGACCTCTGATAGTTCTTGCGCTGTCTTATTGAAGAATGTTAATATTCGTGGATTTTGAGCGGAGCTGGGAAACTAACTTGACTCAGCTAGCTCGCTAGCGCGTTAGAAAGCTCGACGACATAATAGGCTGCTGTGCTTTTGGGAACGCGGTGTGCTCGCTGTGTCAGATCGACCGAGCTCTTCCCCGGGGTAATATAGGTGGTTTTCAGGTGGTACCACCGGTCTACTTTATTCTTCACGATTGCCCTTTTTTGTGTAATCGTCTGCCTTGGCCGTGAGATGGAGTGGCACCAGCTGACTTGCTAGCGAGCGAGCTAACAGCAACTGCTCAATCCCCAGTGTGTTCACAGCGCTAGCAGAGCACTGCTCTCATTGCGCTGGCTATAAATACCACTTCAGGTCCCATGCTAAGTGCGCCTCCAAAAGTGGTGGACTAGTCCACGTCGTTCCGGCTTTTTCTGGTCACCTCGCTCGTAGATTGGCACTCTACATGGTCACTACAGTGAGTTTAAGACGACTTGAAGAGCGAGTCGGACCCCGAGGTTGTGAGCCGAGCTGGGCTGATCTCACGTTAAATCGCACCGGCTGCTGGGCTGCAGGTCTCAGGAGGAGCGATACTTGGCTAATCCGTGGCCGAATATCATTTCGCCCTAATGGGCTTGTTCTGTCATCAGTAGTAATATAACCAGCCTTGGTACGGTCCAGGGTTTCAAGACCAAAACTTTGCAAGAAGACATCTTCTTTGTTTCTACCGTGTGAGACTGTGGAGGCAGACTTCATCTGTCCAGAGCAGAGCACCATGTCGGAGGATAACAACGCAGACAAGTTCATCAAGGTAATAGCAAAATCAAATATCAATATGTGGTGGTTTTTTTTTTACAACTGTAGTGGTCTAAATTGATGATGGACATGTTATATCTGCATTTCTGCTTTAGTAGATTAAAACCAATCTCTGATTCATTTAAATTGTTCTATATTTGGATCAACATCTACAACATAATTTTAAATCTTTTCCTGTCATCATGATCCTAATTGTCTGTTGCTCAGTGACGACACCACTAAAAGTACACTTGGATCTTGTTTTATGAGGCTGCCACAGATTGATGCAACACATGGCAGCTCCTGACAGCTCCAGCATGCAGTTGTGACTTATGGGCATGTAAAAAATGAAAAATGCACAATGGAAAGTTTTCCCATGATGAACATTACTGTGGCGTTGGGGTCTTTGTCATTGGTTGATGGTCATTACCCAGCAACATGTCCACACAACCCGGTCCTGGGATTTGTTCTTGGCCTGATCCCCTCAGTGTCTCACTGCACAGGCATCGATGTCGGCAATAAAACGTGATCTTGAGTGGCCCTGGCCCCTGCTTTCACATTTGGGAGAGAAGAAGCTGAGAACTGGGGCACACGCTGGTTATCCACTGTGGCTGCTAGCGTGAAGGAAGATCAACGGGTTAACGAGCTAACTTTTGGCTTAACGCAGGCTATCTGTTATCAAGACCTTGGCACAGTGAACCCAGAAATCATCATGGTAGCCTATGATGCAAAAGGAACTTGCTCCAGAATAGGTTGAATTCAGAGGATTGGATCAAAACATCTTAGTTCTTGCCTTACTTGATTACCCTACAATTATCAACAATTAAACCGGGCCTAATAGTGCACATGGTTGGCTTGTATTTACAAATACTGTGTCTTCCGCCAGAATTTTCTCCCGCAGAGCCAGTCGGTTGTTAGATTCACTGTCCTGGGCACAGTGAGGTCAGGCCCTTCAAAGATAAGAAGTTTATGGTACAGACAGCTGAGTAGTTGTGTACTAAATACCAGCCCCTCGTGCCGTGCCGCGTGAATAAATCCCAGTTATCATCAGCGTCTTTGTGTTTACACAGAGCAGATTGGACTGGCCAGGGCAGTGGAAGGACGTTATGGTGGCTGTTGGCAGTGGCACAAAATCGTACTGCAGTGGCCAAGACCAATATATACTCAGGAGAGGAAGGAAAAAAGGGGCCAATTTATTTTTTTTGTGTTCTAAAGTTCTGGGTTTTGTAATGTAAAGAACAAGCAGATGAAGGGTTTTCAGCTCGGGTGATTGCAAAAGTTGTCTCCCTTCTTCTTCCAGGATTGCCCCCCACATCTTTTTATTGGCAGCAGCGGCGGAGCTCTCCCAGATGCATGTGTTTTATGTCAGCCAAAGCTGTCTTTTTTCCAAGAATAATCTGTGTTAAGGATTAGCACTATTGTTAAAATAGAGAGGTGATAATGGATATATAGCTGTTACATAACCCAGTGCGAACACATTGGGGGCGAAATGCATTGCACTCTCGCAGGAGAGCGTCAGTAACATTTGCCAAACTCTCTTCTAAATTATGTGAGAAGTCCATTTTATGAGAGATAGAAGTTACATTCCAGGTATTGGGAAATCATTTCCTGTGCTTTGGCAATGATTAGGAACGGTCTGACTTGTGCAGTAGATTTTCTTTTCCTTCTCATGAGCTGGTGATTGTACTGCATGACATAAACTATGCTGACAGCTTGGAAAAGTAAAAGGAATCCAAAAGCTTAACCCTGTAATGCATTCCAATATAGCTCAAAAGTCAGCCTTTTTTCGCCCCCCCCCACTCCAAATGTCTTATACATTTTTTGTGTGTGCTTTGTTTTTCACACAGGAGACATCCATTCTGGACGAGTACAACATAAACTGGACACAGAAGTTGGGCGCCGGCATCAGTGGACCCGTCAGGTGAGTGACAGACTTCTCTCCCGTCCCTGAATGTGGTCTCTACTGCTGATTTAACTGTGAGTGTGCTGCTAGAAGGTCATTATTTTATTGAACTACGACGTGAACAAGTTGTACTACAAAAGCAGGACACATCATCGTGGTTGAGAAGCCGCCTGTTAATCTGTGTTGCTGATGTCCGAGGATCACCGTCATACATCAGTTGCCATGTTTGACCAGCATCGTTTTGGATTGCGGTATTACACAGAGAGAAATCTGACATCTGACATGCTGGGCTCAGGCCAGCGATGAGAGCAGCGTCATGGTCCACTGAGATTGCTTTCTATTTCAGTTTTGATCTGAAAATAGTATATTCTGACTCAGAATATTCTAAAACCCCCCCTGATATGATTAAGAGATAAATATTGCGATATTCCCCGGCCCCTGCTGCTCACGATTAAATCACCGTCGACTACTACTGCAGAGATGATGTCAGAGCAGATTATGTGTTAACTGTTGAACGGTCAGAGTTTGTGTTTGCTGCCAAGAAAAATAAAAAAAATAAATCTTCCTACACGTTGCTGACGTTTGCAGCTCATTGCTTCTCCTGTGCTTTTATTGCATCACTGTGGCACCAGTTCTCGAGCACGGCTTGACCTCACCTTTGACACATTAACACACATTTGAGAAAATGAAATCACCAGATTCTTGCTGTAAGCGACTGAACCGGCGTTTAACGGCGTCACACCTGGAGGCTTAATAGATTACGTTGAGCACAGGCGCTGTGTTTGTTGGTCCTGGTGGTGGCTCGGTCAGCTCAGACGCATGTAACTGCAGAATCCTGGGCTTGACTCCGACCCAAAACTTTGATCCCTCACAACCTTCTGTGCAAGAATTCAGCCTGTTGTTGGACGTCGTCTTGTGCAAATGCATATGTGTAACCACGATGAAAAAAGTGGATTCGTGTCTAAATCTGGTGCTCTGCTCAACTTAGATGTTTAGTTGATGCTTAGGGATTCACGAGGGATCAATAATAAAGCCCAGCAGTTGGTTTCTCTGTGCATTCTTCTAGTACTTTCAACCCTGACAGTTGGGGAATAATCTGTCACAGCAAAGTGCACATTTCTGAGATGCTCCCAATAACTAGCAGCAACTCAAAAACATCATAAACCTCATGAAGTCTGGCGGACCTCGAAGGCGAGAAGCCTCTGCGTCGTCCTGCATCGCTGCCGTAATCCCTTCATAGGAATAATTTCTGTTTGTCTAATGCAGAAGCTCCAGCAGTTTCGGAGTTACTTGCAGTTTCTTTTGTGCGAGTCTGCCTGCCCTGCTGATTCCAGCTAGACACCGGCTGCGATGCATCAACCGGCTGTCACTGATTCCTTCTGCTCATTCTGCACTTTAGAAGGCACCGCAAGTCTGTTTCCGGGGAGAGCAACCTGTTATTTCCTAATGTGTGTAGTTTTGGCCTCAAGTGACAAGAATACTGAGAAATTGACTCATCAGGCCTTGATGTAAACACGCTCTATGATTCATGCCGTGCTGTTTCTTTTTCAGGCAGCTCTTGCTCACCCCGTCTCCTATTTTTCTGACTCTGTTTTTCACTCGGGGTTTTATGGAGACTTTGCTGTTATTCACCTCCTTCTGCCCCACAGAGGAGAACATTTGTGTCTTTTACTATCCCAGCCCCCTCCTCCTCCTCCTCCTCCTCTCTGTCTAACTCTGTGATTCATTAGGTTGGTATTGCTTCCCAGTGAAGTGAACTTTGGCCGAAGCAGAATGTTTCTTGCAGTAATGCTTTAATAGTGTAATCTGAGTTCAAGGGCCAGAGGTTGCTCTTTAAAGTGAATATTTGAGTCCTTGCAGGCTAGAAGAGTGGGGAAAAGAGTTATTGAGTTTCTCAGAAAGTAAAATTCATATCAGCTGGGTCCATATTCAATCTGGTGTAGTTTGAAGAAACTCTTTCCCAGATTTATTTCATTTCAACCATATGACGCATGAGGAATATGACATACACAGATGGCTTTCTCCTTCATTTTACTCTAGTTACAAAGATGCGGAGAAGGTTTCTCGTAACAAACTGTGATGTTGACAAAATCTCAACTCCATCCAGTCGGCTGCTCTCTTGTCTCTGTGCTTGTGTTTGGCCAAATTTAATTTCAGAGCGCATATTAGTGAGGCTGTAAAAGAGGGATGCAAATGTTTATCAGCCGAAAAGCAATATTTAAGAACATAGGAACTGTCAGTAAAGCTTAAATGAACCCCTACACGAGTATTACGAGCTCGCTCCCTGCAGCTCAGCGTTGTGTAGAGCAGCTGAAACGATTCGTCCTTCATCAGCAGAAATCGTATGTAGATCTGCAGCGATAACAGGATATTGATGAAGTAATCTTTGAGTAAATAGGCCGATGATATCCTGATTGCAGCCACACAAATGGGAATACTTTCTGCTCGTCTTGTGCTGTGTGTTGGAAGGTGGTGGGCACATATTTGCTCATAATCTGGGGGTGTTCTCTACTTTATCCATTCCAGTGTAATATCTCTGGGAACCGCTTGAGCTCCTCGCTGCCTTTCACAGTTTTGTCCCCTCGGTGATAAGACGGTGTTACCAGCTGTATAACAGATTTTAAAAGTTCTTCTCACAGCTGCAAGACTCACACAGCAGCTTTTTGTAAATCCCCCCACTGTAGTAAAGGAATGGACCGATGAAATGATTAAGATCATACAAACACATGCTGGAAAGAATTAACAGTGAGGAGGGAAAACAAAAGAGGAATTGGATCAGCTTTGGTTGCATGTTAATTTAAGCTGAAGCTGGAATGTAAATGAGTTAATGACTGACCTGTTTTTTTTTTTTCACCTTCTTTCATGCTCAAGGCTTCATTTTTAGGTTTAATTCTAACCGTGTTGTGTTTTGTTTGTCTGCTTTGTGACGTGCTGCGCTGCAAAAATAAATAAAAACTGGAATTATATATAAAATCACAACATGCTGACCGAGAATATAAATGTGAAACTGCTGAATAATGTGATTTTATCAACATTAAAGCCACATTTAAAGGCAACAAATGGCATGAAAGTTGATAGATACAGATGCAGCCTTTATCACACCACACATTGTCCCAAATTGATTGTATTTGTAAAGAATGGAGACCGTCGGGCATTTTATTGAACACACAACGTCCTCACAGATAAACTTGTGGTTTTGGGTCGAATAATTGTGACTTCACCTGATATTGATGATGTTTATTTACTCATTTGCTCACGGTGATTACATTTTACAGACGAGGATTCAGAGCAGGTGACTCAGATAAGCGCTCCTGTTCATCATCGACAAACAGAGCAACCGTCTGGCCGTAGAAAACGAGAAAACCCCTCTGCCCCACCGCAGAAACTACCTTACGCATTCCTGACATGATCACATCGCTGACAAACTTTGTGTTGTGTGAGATATTTATTGACTCTTTGTTTTCTTCTGTCCAGAGTTTGTGTAAAGAAGTCAACTCAGGAACGCCTGGCTCTGAAGATCCTCATTGATCGGCCCAAGGCCAGAAACGAGGTTAGAGGAAAACGCCGTCCTGCTTGTGATTAATGCCTGTTTGTTTGTCGTCTTTGGCTGTATCGATATGCTTTGTTCTGTCTGCCAGCTTGTTCCCAGTCTTTTATTAATTCTTGTTTTTCCTCTCGTTGTCACTCCGTCTCCTGTTGCCTCTTGTCTGTTTGTGTGGACTTCTTTGTCCGCGGCGTTGTCATCATCCTGCGGCGAACAGTTTGCCGTGCAGCCTCTCCATGTCATTAGCAGCCCCCTGTTTTGATCAAGCAGCTTTTACAGCAGTTAGGCGGCGAGACACGCGGTCAAAACACACACACTCGCTTCACACAGGCTGCTGCAGCTGAACGAGCAAATACGCAGAGATCATTACCACTAAACAACATGTTCTTCAGGCTCGTCTTCTTAAATCACAAGCACGTGTTTCTAAAGGTTTGTTTGGTGTATCTGGCTGATGGCTTTTTGCTTAGTCTGACGCTGCATAATTAGAGTCATTGTGATTACTTGGCAGCGCCTCTTTAGTGGTCGCTGCATAATTTGCAGATACATTTGTTAAATCTGTTGGTTTTTATTTGACTGCTGTGAATATGTGTTGCCCACTAATGATCCAAACATTCATTATGAAATACAGCAAAGAGGTGAAACAATTTAACAAACTGTAAACGCTTTATCTGAGTGTAAACACACATTGATCTCACCTTTAACTGCCATTTTATCATTTCCTTTAAGCAGGGAAAGGTACAACCCCACATCAGAGTGTGTTTTTAGGACAAACAGACTGATTTGTGACCGCATGGTGTTAAAATGAAAATACACTTGAGTGAATCCTCTCCATTACAGGTGCGGCTCCATATGATGTGTGCCAACCACCCGAACATAGTGCAGATCCTGGAGGTTTACGCAAACAGTGTCCAATTCCCGCACGAGTCCAGCCCGAGGTAAAGAGCTCTGTGTGTGAGTTTTCACGCCTCGTATGTTCACGTTATCTCCTCTCTTTCACATATCTGCCTTCTTGTTTATTTTTTTTTTCCCACAGAGCGAGGCTCCTGATCGTCATGGAGATGATGGAGGGCGGCGAGCTATTCCACAGAATCAGTCAGCACAGGCACTTTACCGAAAAGATGGCCAGCCAGGTCACCAAACAGGTGGGTGAAAACACACACACACACACAAGCACGTCCTTCAGTGTACTACAGGCTGTTGTTCCATTACTTTCCTGAATGGGGATTTTTTGTAAATATTTAATCCCGCTCAGCCTTTGTCGTGCTTCGTCTGACTTTTCCTGTGAAACGTTTTATTTCTGTGGGCAACGACGCGTCTGGTGGCCTCTCCATGTCATTAGCAGCCCCCTGCCTGGATCAAGCTGCTCGCGCTGCATTCGGGCAGCGAGACATGTGGTCAGAAGAGGCGACACACACCAAGCTGATTAAAAGTGCTTTGACACACACACACCCATGGAGCTGGTGTCTCAGTCTGATGTCTTTTCTCCCTGTAGATCAGTCAAGCGTTGGAACATTGTCACTCCTTAAATATTGCACATCGCGACCTGAAGCCAGAGAACCTGCTCTTTAAGGACAACTCTCTGGTAAGCTGCTGGGGTTCCGTTTCATTTCATATGCAGACATAATTACCGCTGCTTTAAAAGTATACCAGCAGCACCATTGCTGTGTGGGCTGATGCTTTTTAGCTAATTAAGTCTGCACACTAAATACAGTAAGAACTACAAAGGAGCAGAAACTTTGCTGGACTCCAGTCAGAATGCTTTACTTTACGACAGGCTGGAAGAAGGGAAGTTTTCTTGGCCACGTCTGGCCAGAGTTCGGCCAAGATCTTGTAGAAATATCCGCTCCACAGTTGCTGTGATAGACTTTGAAACCAGTCCTTGCTCTGGCAACGACTTCAGTGATATCCCAAATGGGTCCTATCAAGTGAAGCCTCTGAGATATAAACAAACTGAAATGATTTAAAGGAAGCTGCTAAAATATGTTTCTGTGCTCGCTCCACATTCACGTGTCTCACTCTGTGATTCTGTCTTTTCTGCAGGATGCACCTGTGAAGTTGTGTGACTTTGGCTTTGCCAAAATTGATCAAGGAGACTTGATGACCCCTCAGTTCACTCCTTACTACGTAGCACCTCAGGTGAGAATAAGCAGAGTTCACTGAAGATGTGCTGCTTCCTCACGACTTACGTTGAGTTCAGACTAAAGGCAGATTCACCACCGGTTCACCCCTCATGATGTTCTGGCCACATTAACTGTTACTGTGAAGGTTTTACAGATACGATATGAAACCTCCTGAGCTGCTTGCAGACTCCTCAGAGCTCCCCTGATTAATGTGAACATGTTTGATATTTAAGAGTTGAAGTTTGGAAGGTGGCTCTGTGGTTAGCATCATTGCCTAACAGCTAGAAGGTCGCCGGTTCACGTCCCGGTGAGGACACCCAGGAGTCTCCATGTTCTCCCCGTGCAGCGTGGGTTCTCTCCGGGTTCTCCGGCTTCCTCCCACACAGTCCAAAAACATGCT